AACCATTCACAGTACCGTGATACACCATGCCAAACCCTCCTTTACCTAAAACTCTTTGGAAGTTATTTGTCATTTTGATGACCTCTGGGTATGTGAACCTTCTGCTGTTCTTATTAGCAAATGTAACATTCACCGCTGACGTACTCGGTAGCAGGTGTAGACCTGTACATCAGAATAAGGATGTTATCACATCGTTTTGTATTTGTATCACAAGATTTTCTATGTATTATTTTTTGATGTCTCTTGCAAATACCTTGTAGAATCGTTGACTTTTTCTTTTTGATTACAAGAAAAAGAACCAATACAGCAATTACAACTGATGCAACAATTGGCACAAGAACTTTCTTCTTTGGTGATTTTCTACATGAATCAGAGAGACAAAGCTTTGGGTTTCCTTCAACACTACATTAAGACAAGGGGTTTGTTTAGGACTTCAAATGCACAAAGGGGTTATAGGCAATGACTAATAAAAGTTGAAAAGCTATGAGGAAAGTTTTTTACAGTAGCTCTAGTCCTTTCTTTTGAAGAGCTTGAGGAATTGAGCCGTTAAGATTGTTCCCGCTTAAGTTTCTGTGAAAAATGACCATGATTTGAGTTGGAATTTGAAAATCATTAGAAAATTTGCTGAGAAAACTTACATGAACAACAACGATTTCATGTTGCCTAGAAAGTATGGCACTCCTCCAGTCAAGTTATTATTCGACAAGTCTCTGAAGTTAGCAAGAGAGAATAAAGACATGAAGGTTTATCAAATTTATTCCCATCCATATCATACCAATATCTCGCCTTCAATTAACAGTCGTAATTCTTACAATTTTTCTAGTTGCGTAAGACTTTGAATGGCAGCTGCTATGGTTCCATTTAAACCACTTGACGACAAGTTTCTAGTGAGACGTTCAAAATCACATTCAAAGTATTAATGAATGATCAACATTACTATCAAACCTTGGGGAGTGTGTGATAGTAATTTTTGACAACTAAATTTTCGACTTACAAAGTAGTGATTCTTGGTGGCATGGACATGTCCGTGCTGCTGCAATCTAAACCTTCCCATTTAAGCTTTTGAGGGACGCATGGATCACCTTGCCAGTTGATTCTACTCAAAGCATAAGTGGCTGCGATGTTTTTTATAACACCCACTGACATAAAAAGGTTTTGATGTCTTGTGTTGGAGATTATTATCTTTATTAACATAAGAAAGCATAGACCTTATATGGAAAAGAAAGGCACATACCGTCGCTTTCATCTGTTTCAGACTGCAGAAACTGAATAACCGTGTAGACTTCAAAAGCATTAAGTAGAGGTGGAAGAGTTGATCTGTTGGTTCTTCTTAGCTGAAAACTGCATTCCCTTCCTTTGCAAGAACTCGGCGAATTGCTTAAGATAGTATACAAGCTAAATTTTGGAGGAATTACAGGGTCGGACATGACTTCTCCATTCCAAACCATGTCAAATTCCCTGGTTTCGTTGGTCTGCAAATCTTGGATCTCAGCGAAGTGTCTGTACAAGTAATATTGGTCATTAACATTATTCGAATCCCATTGAATCGTCAATGGGGCACTGGAATCAGTAGGTTTTGCAGCAGTTGCGAGAGCGTCTTTTGGTGGAACAAATTCGTTTGAATTGCTCACTTGGAGAGTGGTGGAAATCTCGGTCCATTCTTTCCTAAAAAGCGAAACCCATACACGATCATAAACATCTCTCGGGTACCTGGAGATGGGTTTTTAGAAGAGGAATCAATAAATAAGATTAAAAACATAACTTTTCATGACTTGGTACGTTGTAATTATATCAGACTGATTGTAAAATCTAAAACATGGACATGATTCGTTGTTTTTATTGTCTTGTACTTGTTTCATTTCAAGGATTGAATAGTCGTTTCCTTGAAGAAACCACCCCTGTGTTCTAAACAGAGTACAGAGACGAACAGAGCAACAAGTAACAGAGCATAACAGACAAAATATAGCAGAAAGAAGAGAAAACGTTCAACTGAAGCTGAGTTACCTTATGGAAGTCGCTGATTCGCTAAGATATCTCCGAAAGAATAAATTCAGGGAACCAGATGTAGTGATATAAGCGTCATTTCTCATAGGTCGTATCTCCAAGGTGGATATTAGCGGAGTACTCTTCCCAGTCTTAACTAGACAAATCTGCAACGAGTTTGATGTTGGAATGTGCAAGATCTCGGCATATATATTGTCTTGTCCTTGCAAATCTATTTTAGTCCATAGATTAGGTCCAAGATACAGATCAAACTCGGGGTTAATGTCAAGACCATCATAATTTGCATAGATAAAGTGAGCCCTGATCAAATGGTTCCTGCCTTTCTCCACACTCAGAGTGTAGCAGTTCCGAATTCCATCTGGAAAATATCTCAACGTTGTGTATGGCTTCAAGAATTCGGTCACTCGGTTTGTTTGGATTCTACCAGCTTTTCCGCTCTGCATGAAATTTTGGTCCGAAGAGAACCACAGTCCAGTATGAGTCTCTTTATAAGGAGACGGTTCATTCGCTGGTAGCCCGCAATCCAAACTGATGAACCCTGTTAACAGGCATGGTAAACAGTAACCATTAAAACCAGTTCACTACTGAACACCAAAACGTTTGTAAAAGAAGTAGGAAGGATGTGTATAGTAACAAATAAGAAATCTCATACCTTGTTGGTCTTTAGGTTGAACAATATGAATGGTGGCCAAAGTTACTAGCACAAACAAAAGTCCAAGAGAAGTGTCCATGCTCTCTTAACTCTCGAAGTTAAAATTAAGAAACCATAGGCTATGCTGTTGAATATAAACAGAAAATATATAAGCAAAACCAAATCATACAGTAAAAGAAAAGACTTTTGACAAGTCAATGGTGAAAATGAGTAAATGTGTTTTCTAGTGCTAACCAAGGGAAGAAGATGCGGGTTAAGAGGACAACAATGTTCCAATACTAATGGAAAAATAGGGAGCAGACCACGTTAAGCAATAAATTGGGTACATCAAAGGACGATCAATTATATAAAGATGAGTCCAACAAGAGCGTCCTTTCTTTGTTTGACAGCTCTAACTAATTTAGCTAAGGTGCTTAGCCTAATTTTAATACACAAGTTGATTTAGGACAATGTCACATTTGATGCAGTTGTAGTTTCTTGGTACAAGATGCATTTTACTTCCAAGAACCTATTCAATCACACACAAGAATTCATCATGTACAAAGAAATGCTGAGTAATAGTCGACTTTCTAATGGTCATTGACTTGGATTCGTGAACTGAATCGCATTAACTAATTCGAAGAGTCAAAAGAAGAACCTCTTTAGATAACCCACAGGCAGCGAAGTCCGTGAAAAAACTGATTTCTTTGATCAAATCGGGGAATGAGAATCTCCGGTGATAAAACGGCCATCTACTACAATGGAACCTCCGGTCGAGAGAACGAGATGAGCGCTTCACCACCATCAGGAGTTCCCGGCGGTGAGACATTTTCTCCGGCGATCAATCACTGAAGGGTTAAGTCCTTGTGCCATTCACAAAACAGTAAAACGATAATCTTGTTTGGCCATTGGGTTTAACCCATTCTTACAATGATTTAGACATTCTTAAATTACAATTGAATACCAAACTCGAGTTTCGGAAAGAAAGTTGAATTCCATTTATAATCAGATTCATGCTAAGAAAATGTTTGTATAAGCTTCATGTTTCATATTTGGCGATAATATTTAACGAGAAGAAGTTAAGTTAAACAAATATTAGCGAGGAAAAGAATAAAAATCATTTTTAAAATGGAAAAATTTGCCAAAAATACAACAAAAAAATTATAATTTAAAAACTAACTCAAGACCCCAAATTCAGTGGTCACATACCCACCAAAAAAGACCCTTTTAATAACGCATTTCATGATTTGGAAATTTTTATCCATTATTACACCTTATTACCTTATACAACATTTCTAAAAACCCATTTCACTTGGAAATTTACCACATACAACATCCGATTTAATAAACTTAACGTGAGCAACTAACGTACCTATCCAAATACCGAAATCCGGTTCACACCGAATATGAACATGGAAAACCTGGCAAAACCGGTTATAAACTAGACCGAAGTATGAACAACTTGGAGAGACTACCAACTGGGTCACAAAAAGGCCAAATTTCGGATTCAGATTTTGGTTAAGAGCGGTCCTGGCACAAACGCCTCGGACCATTTCTGTTTAACCGAGCTGGAGACATCTGATCCGCTCATGTTGGCAGAAAACATATTTCCGTCTGGACTGGTAAGGACCCACTTCACTCTCTCTGGTGGGTTTTGGTCAATAACCTCGGTCTGAAATCCGGTAAGCTGAACCATGCGTTAAATAAGAAACCATTGTCAAATCGACATATAACCGGCTCACCAAAAAAAAACCAAATAATCCAGAGGTTTCATCTCCTATTCCTAAATGATGAAACTTGAGTCTAATCTTCATTTATCTGTAACCTTAGAAACTTACAGAAAGCCGCTCCGAACGCCCCATGGAAACAGAGTCTAGTGTACTGTTCCCGGTTGCTTTCAAGTATCTCTCAACAGCAGCCATGGAGCCGAAATTATTCCCCGTTCCTGGCCAATGTAAGTCTGCAAACAACAGTATTAAAAGTTTGGAAAACCCGGACCATAAACACAGATCATATATAACCAAAGCCACAGATGTGTACCCTGTCTATATAACTGGAATTTCTCCGAGGTTTCTTCTCAACGATCCATCCATCAGGTAAATGGAAATCTTTGGAGTTGACACGGTGATACTGTAAAAGCATAAGCGGCTGTTGATCGGTATGGTTTCCTGTTCTTCTCTCAACATAATACTGCAAAGAAGAATAGTAACAGGTTAAGTGCCTATCATGCGGAAAGTGATCCTCAACTCTCGACCCTAAAACCACCAAATTATCTCAGATATCTTTATCACAATCTTCTCTTCTCCTGTGTATTCCCTTTCATACACCCCGAACTATTTTGCTAGTCAAGTGAATCAACAACTTATGCAGAGGGTCTGCATTACCAATAGAAGAGACCCAAAAGACCTAACCAACATAGCTAACTAGGTGATTCTTCTCTATTCTACTCTCATAAGCTCTACAGAAAGTACCTTATCAACATGATAAGAGTTTTTCCTCGGATACTCCTCAACATTCCATCCTTTAGGCAAACGGAAACTCTTGGAGGCATATTCGACACTGCGATGATTCTGCAAAAGCATAACACACTGGTTAAGTTTTGTAATCCAAGAACCATGTGTTTGTGCAATTTCAATTCTAGATCAGAGACCTGTTTGGTTCTGGATCCTTCATAAACCCTTGTCTTATCATTGAAGAAGGCTACTGCTCGAGTCAAGCGTCTGTCACCTACTTCCCCAGTCAAGTGTCTTTGAACAGATTCTAGAGATGGAAATTGTCTACCAGTCCCTGGCTCGATAAAGTACTTACCCACATAGAAAACAAAAGAAAAAGATAAGATTTTTCAGAAGATAACTTTAAGCTTTGTCTTGAACCAAGAAACCATAAGCAGAGAAACAAATCATAGACCCTCTCAAGCAATGACCAAGAGCTATGTGACACAAAACCACTAATTTGATCCTAATCAAACATATCCACTTCTCAATACGATTTTCAATTCCAAATGCAAAATTTGTTCTTTCTTGCGACAAAATTTCAGAACTGAAGAACAACAATCAACAATCGAAATCTCGAACTGCCGTTGCTGGTAGGAGACAATGATCGGGACTTATTCACGACGGACCAACCCGGCGGAAGCTTGCCGCGAAACCAATTGGGGTCCACGATCTGTAGCTGAGCTTCGCGACGGTGGCTTGCCGGAAACTGGAATCCGGGAGGAACCAGTTCAGCCGAGGCAGAGGACGAAGATCTCGTCTGCATCGCTTCGTTTCCGGGTTTAACCCAATAACCCGACTCAGGTTTAGTGGGGTTTCAAGCCACAGGGACACACAATGTATGTAGTAGTACCCTTCCCACTGGACACGCAAAGAACACCATCCAATTCTCTCTCCACTTGGCAATATAAAGTTTGCAACTTTACATAGTATTATGATTAAATTTAGTAATATTAGGGAAAATATCTTCATTATAATTTCTTATCTTAATTTTTGTAATTGGGCTTCATATTGGACTTATTGAAACAGTTTTAAAGATGTACTCCATGTACCTTGTAATTGCCCATTTGGGCTTGATAATATAAAGATATGGTCGACAGAAAAAAAATACAATACAAGTAGGATATGTGACTTTCTCCTAAGTCCTAAGCTAATAGACACACGTATATGTATAAGTATAAGTATACA